CCTCACACCTATCAGAATAGCTAAAATCAACAACATAAGAAACAACAGGTGTTGGAGAAGATGTGGAGAAAGGGAACCCGGGTGCATTGTTGGTGGGAATGCAAACTGGTACAGCCACTGTGGAAAATGGTATGAAGGTTCCTCAGAAAGTTAGAAATAGAATTATCCTATGATCCAGTAATCACACAACTGGGTATTTACCCAAAGGAGACAAATATACTAACTCAAAAGGATACATGCACCCCCATGTTTTTAGCAGCATTATCTACAATAGCCAAATTAAAGAAACAGCCACATCTATTGACTAATGAATGGATAAAGAAGATGTGGTGTGTGTGTGTGTGTCTGTGTTTGTATATATACATACTATGGAATATTACTCAGCCGTAAAAAGGAATGAAATCTTGCCATTTGCAACAACATGGATGGAGCCAGAGAGTATTATGCTAAGCGAAATAAGTCATTCATGAAGACAAATACCATACGATTTCACTTGTACATGGAATTTAAGAAACAAATGAGCAAAGGGGAAAAAGAGAGAGAGAGAGAGAAAGACAAACTAAGAAACAGACCTTAACTATAGAGCATAAACTATTGGCGGTGGGAGTGGGGATGGGTAAAATAGGAGATGGGTATTAAGGAGTCACTTGTGATGAGCACTGGGTGATGGATGGAATTGTTGAATCACTAACTGTACACCTGAAACAAATATTACACTGTGTGTTAACTACACTGGAATTTAAAAAAAATGTTTATGATTACACCTAAAAAAATGTGGAAGACCTCAGAGAAATTTATACATGTTATTTAGAGAAATCAAAAAAGACTTAAGGAAATGGAGGGATATAACATATACCATGTTCGTTGATTGAATGATTCAATGCTGTCATCGTGAATGACAATGAATCAATATTGCCATCCCCCATCACCATGGGATATGTCAGTTTTCTTCAAACTAATCTACAGATTCAAAGTATTTCTTTTTTTTTCTTCTTTATTGTGTAAATGGAGGTTTGAACCTCTTAATCTCATTTACCTATTTTGCCCACCACCCCCTTTCCTGGCAACCACCAGTTTGTTCTATTTATAAGTCTTGTTTTGTTTTGTTTTGTTTTAGATAGCACATGTAAAAGATATCATATGGTATTTATCTTTTCCTGTCTGATTTATTTCATTTAACATAGTACCCACTAGGTCCATCCATGCTATCACAAATGGTAAGATTTCATTCTTTTCTTATGGATCAGTAATATTCTATTGTGTGTACGTGTGTGCGTGTGTATATACATGCATGCACGCACACACACACACACACACATGCACATACCACATCTTTACCCATTCATCTATTGATGGACACTGAGGTTGCTTCCATACCTTGGCTGTTATAAATGCTGCAATGAATATGAATCCATATATCTTTTCAAATTAGTTTTCTAATCAAAATCTCAGCAAATGTGTCTGTGGAATTTGACAAGTTATTTCTAAAACTTAAGTGGAAATACAAAAGTTAATTTTAAGCAAGAATTAAAGTAGAATGGTTAATCAAACTGAAGACTATTCACTAAATTGAATACTACATAACAATGAAAGTAATAAACTATAGCTACATGCAACATGGATGAAATTTATAAATAGAACATCGAGCAAAAGAAGCCAAACATAAACAAGAATATATGTATGATATCACTTCTATAATTTTCTAAACAATAGGCAAAACTAATCTATAGTGTTTGAAATCAGGATAGTATTACACCTGGGGATTAGGTAGTGATTGAAAGGTAAAACGGGGGTTTCTGTGGGTCTGGTAATTTTCTGTTTCTTGATTTTTGTGTTTGTTAACATAGGTAAATTATTTCATGGTGTACACTTAACATTTATACTGTTTTTTTAATGTTTTTTTTTTAAGATTTTATTTTTCAGTTATCTCTATACCCAACATGGGACTCGAACCCATAACCCTGAGATCAAGTTTCATGCTCCACCAACTGAGCCAACCAGGCACCCCTACACAGTTTCTTGATTTGGTAACATTTACACACACACCAAAAAGAAAAAAAATAAGGAAGTTTTTTATATACTGATAAGGAATGATCTTTAGAATTACAAAAAGAGTGAAACAAGGTACAAAACTGTATAACATGCTATAATTTGTGTTATAGAAACATATATAACCATATTTGCTTATATATACATAAGGGAAAAAATTATGTTACATATAATTGCCTTTACGTGTACATAATAAATCTCTGGAAAGATATAGTAAATAAGTAACACTGCTTGCCTCCATTGATGGGGACTAAGTGTCCAAGGAAGAGGAGTGGAAGATAAATCCTCACTGTATACACAACTTACATCTTTTGAATGTCAAACCAGGTAAATATGTTAATTATTCAAGAACATTTAAAAATAAACATACTGCAAATTACCTTTATAAAGCAAAGGTATTTTTTAAATTGGGATTATAAACTTCCCCAAAAGCCAACTCTGATGGATCAAGTTTGTTAGATAATTTCATAAATTATAGGGTTCTTAAAATATTCCTTCCCTGCAGCTTAGCTAATATTTCTTAGAAGTACTCTGATGATATCAAAGCAGAACACCACAGATAGAAAAAAAATAAACTCTGATATAATAAGTACAAATAAGTTAATGTCTTTATGTCATAGACTACCTATTGAATTTTACTTGAAAACCATATAAAACAATTCTAAGCTTTTCCATTATACAATTTATGATCAATGATAGCAAGGACTATTAACATGCCTAAAATATGAATGCCTTATTTTATTAATTTTCAGATCATGTAGCACAGAAATCAAAACAGTTGTTCTTCCATATTTAGCTTTAAAATCAGATTTGAAAGGAATCCAAGGATCATTCCCCAGAAGCAGCTGAAATATCTAAACCTATTTCTCAACAGTTACTGCCTTCAAAGAATATGAGACCAAAGGTTGAAGGTGCCCTATAAAAAATAAATAAAAACCTAAAATGTATAGCATAAACTATATAAATATATATATGGTACAAACATAAGGGTATATAGAAATTTACATAGTTAACTGGCTAATTTAAGAAGGCTTAGAGTTCCAAAAGATGCTTGGTTAAATTCTCCTTTACAGACCTAAGCCTCCATTCACCATACATTTAAAAATATTTCCCTCCCTACAGTAAATTGTGATAGTTAATGATTATTTCAATTCAAGATAATGATAACTTTCAAATTCAAGATAATGAATTTATCTTTGTCAAAAATATAGATATCATATTTTTGTAAGCATTAAAATGAGCAATGCCTACAAAATTCTATGATTCTATATGTCCAAAAACTGTCAGCTTGGTCTTTTATGTTGCTAACAGGTAAATCCACATCAATTGAGATAATAAAATTATAACTGAAAATCATCACCATCAATTGTTTCTTTCCCCCACCCCCCCAAAAGGGCCATAAAAGGGGCCAGAACATTTCCTTCAACATTCCAACTGTGAGGGTGAAAACCTATTTTGTTCATCTACACAAAAGTGTAGGGCCAGATCTACTCAAATCATTGAAACAAACAAAACTTTTACAAGCAGAGAAAGAGATAAAATCAATATGTCAATATCTGTGTAGGTAATATTTTTAGTGATAAAAAACAGGAATAGTATAACAACTCTTGACTGATCTTTAAATTTTTTAATATCCTGAAATTTCTGCTATATTACTTACTTTAAAATTTAAGATAAAATAACCAAAATTAGATCTAATCTAAATAAAGAAATTCCATCTAGTTTTAGCAGACATCTAAAATACAAATTCCCTCCTCTCAAAATATACTGGATATAATAAATATAATTGATGCTGAATCCTAAAACACTGAGGACATAACACTCATAAATATTGAAGGTTAATGATTTAAATAGTACAGTATGCACACAAGTGAAAAAAACTTTAGGTAAATAAAAGAATGTCTGCATAACTGCCATCATTTTTCCTCACATACTTATAAAAACAGATTTACTTCTTTAAACTCTGTCCATATAGTGATGATTCCTTATTAAACTATTACCATTCAACAAAATAAAATAAGCACTATCTTGAGTTCTTAGCAGTGACTGCCTGCCTCCATTATTCACCTACCTCAGTTTGAATAGTACTTGCTAATCTGTGTAAATTTACTTCTCAGGGGTTTCTTTTTCTTTCATTAACATCAAATTTTCCTGTGATGGCCCTTCTCATTCACTGCAAAGAGTTAGATTGTTTTCCAAATAATAAACAAATATCAGGTTATTTTTCAGTTAAATTACAGAGACAGATAATGAAATACAAATTTTACTTATCTCCAGGTGGATTATCAGTTGAGTAGATGTGAATTATGTTCTAGGTCTAATTGACACCAACATTAGAAACATTAAAGTTTGGTAATTTGTTACAAATAAAATCTAGTAAATTTTCCCATATCCATTCATTTAATTTTCTCTTTCTGATTACTAATATTTCATTCTAAAATGGGAGAATCTAAATTCTGATCAAATTACCATCTTGGAAAACATTAAGCTTGTATGTGTAGTATTGCTCAACACTTGGTACCAACATTTTTGGAATCTAAAACTTTTGTCTCAGGATTTTTTTTCATGTTAAAATATTTAAGCAAAAGAGTTTAGTGTAGGACATAACTGCCATGATCAAAAGGTGTAAAAAAAATTTAGTATTTACTTGACTTTTAAAATTTTAGGTCTGAGTTTTCAGCACCGTGGCCTAGGGGGGAAAAAAATGCATCACTAATGCAGTGCCAGTTTATAGCAAGAACAGAAATGGTAGGAGTTCCCCATTAGATGATTGAATCTAATCAATTATGAATTTTCTATGAAAATAAACTACTATAAAAGCAAGCATAACATCAAATTATTTCCAGATATTAAGATTCTGAAAAAATCTATTCTTTCAAAAGTTAACCTAAAACTTCTCAGGAAATACTTTTCTCAAACATCAAGAAATTGTTTAACTCAGACATTCTTACCGTTCTCGGTTAAATTTAAGAGAATGAAGAATAGCTGGCCTTTTTTGTCTAAGATTCCACAAATGAAGGGTATCATCTGAACTTGCACTAACCAAAGCACCCTGAAACAAAAAAGAAGACAAAGCAAGTGAGTGACTTCCTTAAGAGTTTTATTTAAGCAAAAACAACAAGATAATTCACTGAATTTTTCACTACTTGAAGAGTTATTTGTATCTATATAACCTAGAAATATAAGGAAAAACAATTGTACATACTTCAATCAGGAAGGCTAAGAATGCTGAGTAGAAGCAAGTGAACTACTACATATAGATTGGTCTGGATGACTAGCTCAAGTCATATGTATTTACCACTAGAGAGAAAAAATTATTGTAAGCATCATTAGAACTATTAAGGATTTTTGTATTGTCTTTGGGAAAAACTAAGTTTAATTTTCTTGTCTCTAATATTCACACACATACTATGTAGCTTCCAGAAAAGAAAATATCCAACCCAGTTTTAAAATTGCAATCTGGTCACATAAAAATTCGTCATTTGTAAGGATTTTCTGTACAGTTAGACGGTATATATTCTTTCTAAAAAGTATACTTGGTGTAATTTATTTTCAATAGATAACTTGTTTCAAGAAGCTTCATCTATGGGGCACCTGGGTGGCTCAGTTGGTTAAGCATCTGCCTTTGGCTCAGGTCATGATCCCAGGGCCCCAGTGCAACTCCCTGCTCAGCAGGGAGTCTGCTTATCCCTCTCCCTCTTCTTCTGCCCCTCCCACCTCTCTCTCTCTCAAATAAGTAAAATTTTTTAAAAAAGAAAAGAAAAGAAGCTTCATCTATGATAAAAGAAAACATCTTTAATAAAAGAAAATGTTTCTCCAGCTAGAAATCAGTATAACTACAAAAATAATACCAATTTTTTTACATGACATCCAAATACAGATGAATTATATTTCAAATACAATAGGATATTTTCTACTTCTTAATACGGCAGACACCATAAGGGCAGATAACTAGTGGCCATGTATGATTTCATACATATATATGCTTGAACTATTTACTTGAGTTAAGTAAGAACATCTTAAACTATGTCAGAACTTTTACTATTATGATTTTCCCAGCTAAAAATGCCAATGCTTGCCCTATGACGAAGCCTGAAGGTACTCTAGAGTACTATGTTCTATAAAAGAGATCTTGCAGAATCATGGTATCCTAATATACCCAAAATTCTTTTCATATTTTCCAAAGTAATTTGTTACAAGTAACCTTTCATAGTTTATAACATCAACTACATATATAAAATGACTATCCCAGTTAGATGATCAGATATAGTTATACTGAAATTCCTAAGATTTATTTCTTCTTTAGGAATTAAAAGAGAGAAGATAGAAACTGTTACAGAAGAACATTTAGATTCCTAAGATAAAAATGCTCATGTATCCTATCATGCTTCTCTTCATATTGTGTACCTATGATTTTAGGCTCAAAGAATAGCTTTTAAAACACAAATTGTAATCCAAGAGTATACCCATTAAAATATGTTAAAAATGTATATAATTTGCATATTTGTATGTAAGTATATAAATACACATGTTAAAAGAGTTATACATTGATATATACATTTTAACAAGAATTCAGAGATAATTATATTCCATGCAATAAAATATATTCTATACATGCCTTGAGGAATTTTCTGTTTGTTTGCTTGTTTTATTTATAAACCATCTCCAAATGTTACTTATATACAAACTAGAATGTTATTAGGATTGCTTACAAGTGCTTGATAAGCTCATTTCTTTTTTTTTGATACAGGATACTGATCTCCTTTCTAAGGACAATGGAAATTCACTTAGAACAGGGTGAGGATAGAACATGATATATGAAATTAATAAAACATTCTCTAAATAGTTATGTGCTATACAAAAGATATAATATGCCAAAGGCAATGGAATTAAAGGCAGCATATATTCAGTAATATATAATAATAATAGCCAAATAAATCTAGGAAGGAAGTCAGTATTATTAGTTCTATGATTAAAATAGGAGGCAACTTATCATTTTGGAGGGATGTGAATAGGACCACCTAGCATAACAACATCAACAGAGATTATAAGACACATGAAAGTAAGCACATCAGCAGGGTGTCTAGGGCTTATTTACAAAAGCAAAGTGAATCTATAAGAAGCACAAGTAATAAAGATCTATGAAAAGACTAAAAACTGAATAAAAACATCAGCTGTGAGGTCAGGGACTATAAAGTTTGGGAAAAGGTAAAGAAATTGAGTGTGAGAGGAGGAAAAGATGGTGGAAGAATAGGGGACCCTATTCCAGCAGGTCCCCTGAATTGAGCTGGATATCTACCAGACGACTCTGAACCCCCATGAAATCAGCCTGAGATGTAAAAAGATACAACTGGATCGCTACAAAAAGAATATCTCAGATGGTTGGTGTCAAGGTATAAAGCAGGGAGCTGTGATTCTGAGGGCAGATTTCGGAAGATAAACAGAAGGGGGAGGGAGGCTTTGGGAGCCTGCACTGCTGGTGCGTGAAACCCTCCCGGGCTGGGGATGGGGCACAGACTCGCAGACTAGTAGCAGTGAGGAAAGGACTTTAGGGCAGCCCCCCGACCAAAACCTGGAGCCTCTGGCTGTGCATGGGAACTGGGGGCAACTAGCGGTTTTAGAAGCACAAGGGCAGAGACGTGCCTGGACCTGGAAGCTGAGGGGCACACAAGAGGCTGACAACCCTAAAGTCCCTATAAAACAGGTGCATCTTACGTGGGTTGTGGTCAGTAATTTGGACTCTGTACATTCCCTCAACCACCCCTCAACAGAATGACTAGGAGGAAGAAACCCCCCCCCCCGCCAGAGGAAAGACTCAGGGACTGTGACTTCTGCCACAGATTTACAAATGGATGCAGATATAAACAAGATGTTGGAAATGGACTTCAGGGTAACAGTTATGAAGACAATAGCTAGAATGGAGAAATTGATTAATGGCAACATAGAGTCTCTAAGGACAGAAATGAGAGCTGAACTGGCAGAACTTAAAAATGCTATTAATGAGATACAATCTAATCTAGATACTCTAATAGCTAGGGTAAATGAGGCAGAAGAATGAATTAGTGATCTAGAAGACAAATTGATAGAAAAGAAGGAAAAAGAGGAGGTCTGGGAGAAACAGCTTAAAATCCATGATAACAGAATTAGAGAAATAAGTGACGCCATGAAACATTCCAATGTCAGAATTACTGGGATCCCTGAGGGGGTGGAGAGAGAGGACTAGAAGATATATTTGAGCAAACTGCGGCTGAGAAATTCCCTAATCTGGGGAATGAAACAGATATTCATGTCCTAGAGGCAGAGAGGACCCCTCCCAAGATCAAGGAAAACAGACCAATGCCCCAGCATGTAATAGTAAAACTCGCAAATCTTAGAAACAAGGAAACCATATTAAGGGCAGTTAGGCGGAAGAGATTCCTTATGTACAGAGGGAGGAACAACAGAATAATGTCAGACCTATCCACAGAGACCTGGCAAGCCAGAAAGGGCAAGCAAGACATATTCAGGGTACTAAACGAGAAGAACATACAGCCAACGATACTTTATCCGGAAAGGCTGTCATTTAGAATGGATGGAGAGATGCAGAGCTTCCAAGACTGGCAGAAATTGAAAGGATATGTGACCACTAAGCCAGCCCTGCAAGAAATATTAAGAGGGGTTCTAAAAAAGGAGAAAGACCCCAAGAGTGATATAGAACAGAAATTTACAGAGACTATAGAAACAAGGACTTCCCAGGCAACATGATGAAAATAAATTCATATCTTTCAATAATCACTCTCAACGTGAATGGCCTAAATGCTCCCATAAAATGGCACAGGGTTGCAGACTGGATAAAAAGACAGGACCCATCGATACACTGTCTACAAGAGACTCATTTTGAACCTAAGGATACATCCAGACTGAAAGTGAAGGGATTGAGATCCATCTTCCATGCCAACAGACCTCAAAAGAAAGCTGGTGTAGCAATTCTTATATCAGACAAATTAGATTTTAAGCTAAAGACTGTAATTAGAGACACAGAAGGACACTGTATCATTCTTAAAGCATCTATCCAACAAGATCTAACAACTGTAAATATCTACACCCCCAACATGGGAGCAGTCAACTACATAAGCCAACTGTTAACCAAAATAAAGAGTCATATTGATAATAATACGTCAATTGTAGGAAACCTCAATACTCCACTCTCAGCAATAGAGAGATCATATAAGCAGAAAATCAACAAAGAAACAAGAGCTTTGAATGACACACTGGACCAGATGGACCTCATAGATAATATACAGAACATTCCACCCTAAAACAACAGAATACTCATTCTTCTTGAGCACACATGGAAATTTCTCCAGAATAGACCACATAGGTCACAAATCAGGTCTCAACCAATACCAAAAGATTGAGATTATTCCCTGCATATTCTCAGACCATAATGCTTTAAAACGGGAACACAATCACAAGAAAAAATTTGGAAGAAATTCAAACACTTGGAAGCTAAAGACCACTCTGCTCAAGAATGTTTGGGTCAACCAGGAAATCAAAGAAGAACCTAAACAATTCATGGAAACCAATGAGAATGAAAACACATCGGTCCAAAATCTATGGGATACTGCAAAGGCAGTCCTAAGTGGGAAATACATAGCCATCCAAGCCTCACTCAAAAAAAGAAAAATCCCAAATTCACCAGTTAACTTTATACCTTAAAGAACTAGAGAAAAAGCAAGAAACGATGCCTAAGCCACGCCTTAGAAGAGAAATAATTAAGATTAGAGCAGAGATCAATGAATTAGAAACCAGAAACACAGTAGATCAGATCAACGAAACCAGAAGCTGGTTCTTTGAAAGAATTAATAAGATCGATAAACCACTGGCCAGACTTATCCAAAGAAAAGAGAAAGGACTCAAATTAATAAAATTATGAATGAAAGGGGAGAGATCACGACTAACACCAAGGAAACAGAAACAATTATTGGAAATTATTATCAACAAGTATATGCCCATAAATTAAGCAACGTGGAAGGAATGGATGCCTTCCTGGAAACCTATAAACTCCCAAGACTGAAACAGGAAGAAACTGACAACCTGAATAGGCCAATAACCAGTAACAAGATTGAAGCAGTGATCAAAAACCTCCCAAAAAACAAGAGTCCAGGGCCTGATGGATTCCCTGGGGAATTCTACCAAACATTCAAAGAAGAAATAATACCTATTCTTCTGAAGCTGTTTCAAAAAATAGAAAGAGAAGGAAAGCTTCCAGACTCATTCTATGAGGCCAGCATTACCTTAAACCCAAGCCAGGCAAAGACCCCATCAAAAAGAATTTCAGACCTATATCCCTGACGAATATGGATTCCAAAATTCCCAACAAAATCCTAGCTAATAGGATCCAACAATACATCAGAAGCATCATGAACCACAACCAAGTGGGATTTATCCCTGGGAAGCAAGGGTGGTTCAACATTTGCAAATCAATCAATGTGATAGAACACATTAATAAGAGGAGAAAGAAGAACGATATGGTCCTCTCAATTGATGCAGAAAAAGCATTTGACAAAATACAGCATTCTTTCCTGATTAAAACTCTTCAGAGTATAGGGATAGAGGGAACATTCCTCGAGTTCATAAAATCCATCTATGAAAAACCCACAGCGAATATCATCCTCAATGGGGAAAAGCTGAGAGCCTTTCCCTTAAGATCAGGGACACGACAAGGATACCCACTATCACCACTATTGTTCAACATAGTACTAGAAGTCCTAGCAACAGCAGTCAGACAACAAAAAGAAAATAAGGTATACAAACTGGCAAAGAAGAAGTCAAACTCTGTCTCTTTGCAGAAGACATGATATTTTATGTGGAAAATCCAAAAGACTCTACCCCGAAATTACTAGAACTCATACAGCAATTCAGTAATGTGGCAGGATACAAAATCAATGCACAGAAAGCAGTTGCTTTCTTATATACTAACAATGTATCTGTAGAAAGAGAAATTAAAGAATCGATTCCATTTACAATAGCACCAAAAACCATAAGATACCTCAGAATAAACCTAACCAAAGAGGTAAAGGATCTATACTCTAGGAACTACAGAACACTTATGAAAGAAACTGAAGACACAAAAAGATGGAAAAACATTCCATCCTCATGGATCGGAAGAATAAACATTGTTAAAATGTCTATGCAACCCAGAGCAATCTATACCTTCAATGCCATCCCAGTCAAAATTCCACGACACTTTTCAAAGTGCTGGAACAACAATCCTAAAATTTGTATCGAATCAGAAAAGACCCTGAATCGCCAAGGAAATGTTGAAAAAGAAAAACACAGCTGGGGGCATTATGTTGCCTGATTTCAAGCTATATTACAAAGCTGTGATCACCAAGACAGAATGGTACTGGCACAAAAACAGACATATAGACCAATGGAACAGAATAGAGAACCCAGATATGGACCCTCAATTCTATGGTCAAATAATCTTCGACAAAGCAGGAAAAAATATGCAATGGAAAAAAGACAGTCTCTTCAATAAATGGTGCTGGGAAAATTGGGCAGCTATATACAGAAGAATGAAACGACCATTCTCTAACACCATACACAAAGATAAACTCAAAATCGGTGAAAGACCTCAATGCGAGACAGGAATCCATCAAAATCCTAGAGACGAAAATAGGCAGTAATCTCTTTGACATTGGCCACAGCAACTTCTTTCAAGATATATCTCCAAAGGCAAGTGAAACAAAAGCAAAAGTGAACTTTTAGGATTTCATCAAGATAAAAAACTTCTGCACAGCAAAGGAAACCGTCAACAAAAGAGGCAACCCACAGAATGGGAGAAGATATTTGCAAATGACACTACAGACAAAGGACTGATATCTAAGATCTATAAAGAACTTCTCAAACTCAACACCCAAAAAACAATAATCAAGTCAAAAAATGGGCAGAAGACATGAACAGACACTTCTCAAAAGAAGAGATACAAATGGCTAACAGACACATGAAAAAATGTTCATCATCATTAGACATCAAGGAAATTCAAATCAAAACCACATTGAGATACCACCTTAATGCCAGTTAGAATGGCAAAAACTGACAAGACAAGAAACAATAAATGTTGGAGAGGTTGTGGAGAAAGGGGAACCCTCTTACACTGTTGGTAGGAATGCAAGTTGGTACAGCCACTTTGGGAAACAGTGTGGAGGTGCCTAAAAAAATTAAAAATAGAGCTACCCTATGACCCAGCAATTGCACTACTGGATATTTAACCCAAAGACATAGATGTAGTGAAAAGAAGGCCATATGCACCCCCAATGTTCATAGAAGCAATGTCCGCAATAGCCAAACTGTGGAAAGGGCTGAGATGCCCTTCAACAGATGAATGGATAAAGAAGAAGTGGTCCATATAAACAATGGAATATTACTCAGCCATCAGAAAGGATGAATACCCAACTTTTACATCAACATGGATGGGACTGGAGGAGATTATGC